AACATTAATTTAAAGAGAGATTTCAACAATTTTCGGAAAAGAATTTTACATTACAAATCACTTTACCAACACTATAAAACCTATCTTCTATATATGGGGTGTGCGATAGACTTACCTGCACCCTGGGCAACGTATACTCATACGGCAAAAAAGTCTATTAACCGGCAGTTGACTTCAAACTGCCATGACCCCCACTGTATGTCATATTCGACCACTTTCACATTACTCAGCTCACCTTTTTTCTACCTTTGTCTTTGAAACACTCCTCTGCCCCCCCCCCAACTCCTCTCGACTTTTTTTCACTTTGATGTACCTTCCCTCTGTGAAGCCTGAAGTCAACTATAGGGCTAATGATGACCATCAAAACGCCTGCTATTTGATTTAATAATAATAATAATAATAACTTTCTAAATATCATCAATATATCTTATTTTTTCTGCGCTGAAATTTAAAAAGGAGTAAATGGCTCTTTTAAAAGTCTAATCTATTGAAAAACGTATAAACTTTCCATTGTATCTCGTACTTTTGATTTTACAACCTAATTAATAATCAAAAATATAAACTCTAAATTTTACCAAGGCTATAAATTCATATCCGACTAAAAACATTTGTAGAAAGTATATTTGCAATTCGGTTAGAGGAAAACTAGAAATGGAGGAAAAGATTAATAAAATGTATGCTATGGCTAATAGAACTTTTAAAGGGCCCTCTTTAAGCCTATTGGTGCAAACTTTAGGAAATGACTCTTAATCATTACACAAGCCATTCTTCGATAGTTAAATCGATTCCAACCGATCTTACAGGGTATCGATTTAAAAAACGTTTATCACCCTATGCATTAGTGTGGACAAAGGAATAATTCTTTGCCAATTTTTGCGTCAAAAAAATCTTTGGACTCTAACATTTTATTAATTCGTATTTTCAGGAGGCTATTGTAGTCTCTAGAATTCAATGTTTAAGAACTCACAACCAATATATATACTATCTTCTGTTTTCGCGCCCTAAGAGAGAGATTCATAGCTGATGTAAAAATTTGTCTTTTTTTTAATTTTGTGTTCGAATCTTCGCGACAAATTTCACTAAAATAAAATATCAATTTCTGTTCAAAATGGAAAAAAGATGGTGCACTTTTGCTAATCCTCCAATGAAATAATGTCATGAATTCAATTTAACCTGGTTCATTAGACTTGCGAAAGACAAACTTCCAAAGTCAAATTTTCAAACGTGAACAAAACTATAATTTCATCGAAAAAATAATTTGCTTTTCATTAATGAGTGTGTAAAGTTTAATTTCGGCTTTTTAAGTAATTTCGTCCTCACTAATTTTCTCTGAATAATGTGCGCCATCTTTTTCATTGTTACCTTGTTCTTTAATTTAAAATTTAATTTAGCCTTTCTTTTAATGTTTAATAATTAAGTATGCTCTTTGTTTGTGCTTGTTTAATAAAGAAGGGTAATAAAGTTTTCTCTGTTTCGGGGATTAAGGAATAAAAAGAAGTATTAAATTGTGATCATCAAAAATAATTTTAAAAAAATACTTTTTTCGTGAGACAATAAACCACTGAGCCCCCGAGGAACACGAAGTCGGACTCTGGGCACCTCCGGAAGTAAAATGATTTCGCTGAACGGTGCAGCAGAGAAATACTTCGTTCGCCTGGAGAACTGGTTCTATAAAATTGAAATTAAATCTGTGTTTTAGTAATCAAATATTAAGCTATTATTTTGTATTTTATTATAAGTACTAGAGTACTCATTTGCGTAATCGCTTGACGAGGGAAGTTAGAACAAGCACAACGTAAAAAATTTGCTTTATTTGAGAGAATGGAAATTTTATTCCAATATTTTTTATAATAAATGAAAAAAGTAGCTTATTTATTCGATTATGTAGTTAATCTCACGATGTCTCTTGGAGCTTTTAATTATCTTGAGTCGTGAAAGACTTGAGTCAGTAACATAAAATTAAAAATATAATTTAATTAGTAAATCATAAATGAATTTCTAACTACATTATTGTCTACTCAAACAGCCTTAGGCTGAATATTCGCTCTATTTGTTTTGTTCTTAACATCATCTTAAATCACCGCTTTAATTAATACAAAATAACGCCTGTTGTTTTGTGATTTAATGACAACTTCCGATTCTATAGTATCAAGTGAGATAATGAATTAGTTTGAATTTAATTTTAATTCCTCTATATAGATTATACAGATGTTCTAAGATCTTCTTAGGGACATTTCTTTTTAAAGGTAAAAAAATCTGCGTAAAATATGCTATTTCCAAACGAACAGATAAAATTAATGATCTATTGCATTGCTTACAAAATTTTCAGGAGATATTTTTGCTTATCAAAAGAGACGTAGACAACGGCGTGGAATACGCACATTTGCGCTGCATCGATCAATATAATCTTATCTCAAATTTTCACTCAACTTCAATTGATTAATATTTAAACAATAAGTTTTTCAGAAAGTTTTATGAGGACATTAGTCTATTGTGCTTCTCATAACCTTCTGAAAAGTCTAACGTTCATCTCGCCTATATAGCGTTTGTAAAAATTAAAGAAAAAAATTGAAAACGATAATTTTCGCAAGTAATTTGCCTGAGCATTAGTATTTGATCAAATTGTGAATCTCATTTAAATAACGAAACCATTCGAAAATTTTAAAAGCCCTTCGGTGAAATTAACATTGCAAACAATAGAAAAGCGATATTTATGTTGGCAACGGGTTTTTTAAAAAATGCGATCCCTCATTACCTTAGTAAATCAAAGTTCGACAAACACAAAAGCTTTTGTTTTCACTGACTTCCTCAGGAAAATCGGCTTCATTATTTGCCACGCATTCGTTCTAAAGCATGACTTTTAAAAGAGGAAATATCGCTAAAAAAAGTCAATTTATTCCTTTGGACTTAAAAATTGTGAAATTCAGGAAAATTTAATATGAAATATTATTTTGCTGAAACATTTTAAGAAATAGAATGAATTTACGGAAATTGAAATATAGTCTACAAATTTTAAAAACTAACAGAAATTAAAATTTTGAAAGTTCTTGCTGCGTACGTATTATTAGCCTATAGCAATCACCAGCTGTTTCTAAATAAATGTCAAAAAAGTTATATTTTCCAGGAAACCACTATTAATCGATCGGATTCATACGAACATTGATGTTGATTAGGGTGAAATTTAATTGATACCAAGAAATTGTATCGTTGAGATCCAAAAAATGTACTCTAAAGCAATTCCAAATCTCTGCAATATTAAAATTATAACCGCATCACGTAGTGAGCTCTGGTGAGCGGCGTTAAGTAGAAAAATTTGTTTCCGGGCTGAGTTGCTTTCTAACGATTTTGATATGCTGTAAATTAATCGAGATGATACTATCCAATTCAACCGATCCGGAAGTTCCAAATATTTTGGGCATCGTCTCTCACACAAATCTAAGAATCGAAGATTGAAATTTGATCTTCAGGATATGACGCCATTACGAAAGTGCATGTGAGAATGGGCACATTGAACAGTTCTCAAAAGTAAACTAAATATAAACAAATGATGTCATGGCCTCACTAGCTACTTCAGAATCGCTTCTTGTATCTTAACATGCTCAATATTTCTTCCGCTTCCTAACTCATGTTATTGAAACCGTTTTTTAATGCTTTGGGGTGTGCGATAGACTTACCTCCACATGGTGCACCCTGGGCAATGTATACTCATACGGCATAAAAGTCTATAAGCTGGCAGTTGACTTCTGACTTCAAACTGCCATGACCCAACTGTATGTCATATTCGACTACTTCCACAGTACTCACCTCACCTTTTTTCTACCTTCGTCTTTGAAACACTCTTCTATTCCCCCCCCCTCCTTCTCGATTTTCATTCAATTTGATGTTCCTTCCCCTCTGTGAAGCCTGAAGTCAACTAAAGGGCTAATGACAACCGTCAAAACGCCTGCCATTTGATATAAATAAATAACTTTTTTAATTCTTTAAGAATAAAATAAAGCATAAGAAAATAAAAGCAGACATGTTGCCAAGATCATCAGTGGTTCGTACCTTCGTATTGGGTGACGTCTCCGGAGGGCGCATGTGCGGATCCAATGTTATTACTTGGATCATCTGCATTCGAAAAAAATGTGCTTTGTTTTTGAAACCTATAATTATTAAATATGCCTTTTTAAGTACAAAGCTCATTTGTGTAATCCAAGTCAACTAAAGCAAATTTCGCGTTCTGATCACTTTTTTCCTTTTTCTGTTAAATACAAGTAAAAACCGAAAAACTAGAATTCCAAAACTTTGCCATCGTTGTAATTGCCAACTGAATTTCTTCAACTTGATTAATTAGATCGTCTTAATGAAAATATCTCCATTTTATTATTCTTTATAAGCAATTATACCTTAAATCATAGAGCGCACTATAAATCGACCACTGGCCTTAATCTTATTAAAAATTCCTTTAAAATTTTCGTTTGTGAAAAGCGTAATTTCTTGATCCACAGTATTGATTATATTTCTTACGTAAAACGAAATTAGGAAGCATGACATTTTATGAAAGAATAGCGACACCCATGGTCTTCAATCTTCATCTCTTGCATATCCATTCCCTTCTCCCCCCCCCCCCCCCCCCCCCCAAGTGGCTCTGCACTTAACGATTTGACAATTGGTCTTGGTGAAACTGGCACTGGCCCAACATTTGGTTGACCTTCAGGCGTCATTCATCTGGAGGAAGCTTTTATACGCATTTCTTTAATGAAATCTCTACTCACCAAGTGGGACCAGATTCTATTACAGCTGTACAGTAGTAAACAACCTTCGACGAACTCGATTTCGCTTAAGGCGGAGAAATTTGTGTCTTTCTTCTCATCTTTCTTTGATTGAATGATAAGCTTAAAATAGGAGTGATTGAACTTGCCCTAGCTTACATCCACTAATTGCCTTGTGACAATGTGAAGGAGAGTACAGCTACCACCTAGTCTTTAACTGTAAGTTTAGGGAATATACTTCTTTCTGTAAACCAACGGCGCAGAGCCATTTTAAAAGTTCTTGATAAGTGATTGCACAACTTTTTTAATAAAAACCAGGTTAAATTAGCTTTTCACACAATCATCTTCAACTTTGACCTTCATCCAAATCTTAAACCATCTTAAACCATTGTCATTTTTGAAAAAATTGTTTGTTATAGGTGGTTATTAGTGAGGCAGCAGAATTTGATTGGCTCACCTGGGTCGTTTAGTAAAAACGAAAACGGAGGCGTCAGTATAGGCGGCAATAGAGCGGACACTATCGTAACGCATCTCGACCGCTGATTGGCAGAGTGCTTCAATTTGATCGCTCTCATCCAGCGGTGCAAACATTAAAGTTTCAATTGTAGCAATCAGTGTACCCTTTATGCATGTCTACACGCCAAAATGGCAATAGGAAATTAATTTTTTTAATTCAGATAAAATTCAAATTAGAATTCTATAAATAATTAAATTGACAAAAATGTACAGAAGTAGGTGCTTGTTTGCATTAAATAAATTTGTTTTCAACTTGTTAACCAAAAAAATGGATCTAAATAAAACTTTTTTTATTTTGAATTTAAATGAAAAAAAAACTATTTTTAAAATAAAGGACAAATTACATTTAAATCAGGACAAAATCTGGCATCCACCTTTAGACAACCTGCAGCTAATGGGTCATTGGTTTCCCTTTTATCTGCCTGATAAAAATAAAAGCAGCAATAAACGTCAAAATTAAAGATTGGCAAAAAAAGAATTTAAGCATTTTGCAAAGCGAGAAACGGCTTAAGACGTTTATTCACTTGACATACTTGCAAGACTTTGGCTGGGAACGACTTTTCCAATGTTTCCGCCCCAATAATTCGTTTAAAAATTGTTCTATACCGCTTCTCAATTGAAGGAACATTTGTTCCAGAATCAGGCATAGCTGCATAGAAAGTTGGAAATGGTTATTGCAAATTAATTATTAAAATAACTACGCGGTTATCAAAAGTGGTCAACTATAAAAAAATAAAAGCAAATGGAGTCATTTTTTCAATTAAAAAGGCATTGAACTACTTCGTGATTATAAAACTAGATCAAAAAATATTTTACTTTTCGATTCAAGAGCTTCTTCTCGACAGTCATCTTTTGACTTAGGATGTTCAGGTTCCTCTTTGACAACTTTTAAGCGTTGTCCAGCGAAAAGATGATTACTGCAAAGTTTATTTATCTGGCATAGACGTGAAGGTGTCAGATCAAATTTCGCAGCAACACTTGTTAGTGAATCACCACTTTCCACCTTAAATGAATCAGATCATAAAATGGAATTAACTGACAATATAAAGTTCTTGTTTATCTTCGGTTTTGTCGGAAACTTCAATATCGGCAGCACTCATTGTTTAAAGAGACTTGAAGATTTTGAAATATGTAGCGATTCTTATTCGGTTTTCATAGCTATTTCATTGAAACTAAAAATGAATCGGAAATAATGAACAGAAATAATGGCTAGCCAAAGACTCTACGAATGGGAATAAAATAGGTCACTGACCGCAAATAATAAGACGATCAACGTAAAGATCAACGAATCAAAAAGGCACTTAGCTTAAGAACTATAAATTAAATTGAAAAAAATATTTGATTTCGCTATAAAAAGTTTCCCAAAAAGAAACATTTAATTTTAATAAGATTTAAGGCATAATTTCACAAAACAAAGTAAAACAATACGCTAAAAATGTCCACTAAAATAATTCATTGTCTTTATAATTTTCAATGAATATTCTAAAAATAACAATTCAAACTGTTTAATTTGTTACGAAATATAACAACTCAAAGCAAAATTTACCAACTACTTATCAACAAAACGAAAAATTAGACGACTGTCTGGACATACTATATTTTGCACCCCCTAAAAAATCATTAAATTGTAATACTTAATTTAAATGTCTAAAAATGCAAGCATACTAGTAACTTCGATCATATTTTTCTGTGCAGATCAAAGCGCTCAACCATCTTATACCTATTCGTATTCGGTTTAATTATTTCCAGCCTTGAGATTAAGGTCGCTATATTGCAGACTGGCATATTAAAACAAACAAATTAATTCAATATAATATTTTAGAATAAGTAGAATGCGCCTTTAAAATGGCATTACTTAAAATATAATTTATTATCAGTTAAACTTTAGTCTAAATCATCAAAACTATTTTGTTTGATAAATTTAATTTCTTAGTTTTCTGCAATTATTAATAACAAGAATGGTCAAACATTGGTGTATTATCAACATATATATAGTTTTCATACTTTTATCTCATCAATGTCTTAAGTAGTTTCATGAATTTTCCATAAAATGGGTGCGATCTAACATATTTATACTCAACTTAATAAGTCCAAATTTTACTTCCTACAATGTTCCCTCTACTTCTTCGTCTCTGCTTAATTTATTTGCGCATTATTGCTTGATTAACTGCAATTCATTTGCTGTTCCATTAATAAAAGTTTGCTGCAATAGACATTTTATGCTGATGTGTTTACATGTGTGCTTCTTGCCTATTTTGATGGATCTCTGAAATAAAAAATTTTATTCCACTCATTTATTATCTTTTCTTTAGGTTGTCAGGTTAGACGATAATATATTTTAAAAGGTGACTTACCAATAATGTTCATTAGCTGAGTATATAAATCATTTTTTCTTTTTATCGCCTTGATCGCCTGTGTTGTCTGTATGAGTAATTGTATTTAGGTAATTGAATCATGTACTATGATCTAAGAATTTGCTTTAAAATCTATCAAATACATAATTTTCAATTGATTTGATCCTGTCAGTCGCACAAACTCGAATGCAACGTACAAACAACTTTACAAAACAGTTTCTTATTTTATCTTCCTGCAATTTCCGAAATGAAACGAAACATCCGTGATAGCATCACCCTGTGATATAGTTTGCCCAATTTGCTATTACTCTTTTAAGGACAGTGTTTGCTTTAATGCAAACGTGTAACTATTAATTTTTATAAAAGGAAATATTTGTTTCTGAACATATTGGGAATAAAATTGCCCATTGCATTATCGTTTTACCCTGATAATTAGAAAATATTTTTATCAAAGTTTAGCCCTTTTGCTACTGCTTCTAGAAGTCAAAAAATTGTTCACTCAGTAGCACGAAAATTACTGGTTTTTGATATTTTACATTTTATCCAAACTTATTTATTTATATCAAATGGCAGGCGTCTTGATGGTTATCATTAGCCCTTTAGTTGACTTCAGTCTTCACAGAGGGGAAGGAACATCAAAGTGGGAAAAAAGTCGAGAGGTGGGGAACAGAAGAATGCTTCAAAGACGAAGGTAGAAAAAAGGTGAGGTGAGTACTGTGGAAGTAGTCGAATGTGACATACAATGGGGTGAGGGTAGTTTGAAGTGAGAAATCAACTGCCAGATAATAGACTTTTTTGCCGTATGAATATACGTTGCCCAGGGTGGACCACGTGGAGGTAAGTCTATCGCACTCCCCTNATAGTTGTGATGGTACGGCTTTTAGAGAGAATTTTATAAACTTAAAATTTATTTATATCAAATGGCAGGCGTTTTGATAGTTATCATTAACCCTTTAGTCGACTTCAGGCTTCATAGAGGGGAAGGAATATCAAAGTGAAAAAAGTCGATTGGGGGAGGGGGGGGACAGAAGAGTGTTTCAAAGGTGTAAAAGAGACAGACACAAAGTGGAAAAAAGGTGAGGTGAGTACTGTGAAAGCAGTTGAACATGACGTACAGTGGGGCTATAGTAGTTTGAAGGCCGAAGTCAACTGCCGTATGAGTATAAGTTGCCCAGGGTGCACCACGTGGAGGTAAGTCTATCGTACACCCCTATAAACTTAAAATAGCTTTTTAAGATGCACTGCTAACGAGCATGAAGTTCTTAAAATTACCATTCCTTAAGCATTTATTTTCAATCAATATTTAAGGTTAGGCTGGAATTAATCATTAGTCAGATTGCGGGAATTTCTCTTAAATCTTTCAAGACATTTACGCCTGACATGATTACATCCAGTTATGTCATTTTACACAAAATGGCGATAACCATTGTCGATATTTTAATACCCAGTTTGCTGTGGCTAGAAGCAATATTAATCCAATTTATAATGACCTTTGGTCATTTTTTAAGCTGACTCAAACAACGGCAACATATAATTACTAAAGGTTTCTTGAATTAACAAATATCAGTTTCAACTGGAAGATATGCTTTAGAAGAATTATATATATATATATATATATATATATATATTTTTTNTAGCATCACCCTGTGATATAGTTTGCCCAATTTGCTATTACTCTTTTAAGGACAGTGTTTGCTTTAATGCAAACGTGTAACTATTAATTTTTATAAAAGGAAATATTTGTTTCTGAACATATTGGGAATAAAATTGCCCATTGCATTATCGTTTTACCCTGATAATTAGAAAATATTTTTATCAAAGTTTAGCCCTTTTGCTACTGCTTCTAGAAGTCAAAAAATTGTTCACTCAGTAGCACGAAAATTACTGGTTTTTGATATTTTACATTTTATCCAAACTTATTTATTTATATCAAATGGCAGGCGTCTTGATGGTTATCATTAGCCCTTTAGTTGACTTCAGTCTTCACAGAGGGGAAGGAACATCAAAGTGGGAAAAAAGTCGAGAGGTGGGGAACAGAAGAATGCTTCAAAGACGAAGGTAGAAAAAAGGTGAGGTGAGTACTGTGGAAGTAGTCGAATGTGACATACAATGGGGTGAGGGTAGTTTGAAGTGAGAAATCAACTGCCAGATAATAGACTTTTTTGCCGTATGAATATACGTTGCCCAGGGTGGACCACGTGGAGGTAAGTCTATCGCACTCCCCTTATTCAAACTTTAGACAGTGGATTTAATTGTATTGGATGATGAAAAATTTTAAAAATTTACTCATAACTTATATTCATAAAATTTCATGAACTGCTATAATACTTTTTTTCACATCTATTTTCGGTGAAAAGTGAAGTGATACTAACTGCGTCGAATCAAATAAGCATAACTTTTTAGCCCCAAAAATTGTTTTTTTTCATAAATCTTACACGAACAGAATGCTTTAGTTACTTATATAAACAACAACGAAACTCATTTGAAATATTCCTGAGCCGAATGAAAAACCCGATCTTTTGAGTTCTTGCTGTTACAAAATCATAACAATGTTGTTTTGATGCTTAAAATTAAAGGCTTGTTCACTTGGATTTGAACTTCTTTCAATAGTGAGAGAAAAGAACTAGCTATTTCAACTTATTTTTATTGCTCATAATGAATCAGTCAATCAATTTTTCTTCATGTATTAGGTTGGCAACTAAGTCATTGCCGATTTCAAATAAGAAGGCGAATTCGGAATTTATGTTTAAAAATATAACTTTATTCAATTAGATATTGGCCGTTCTTGTCGATGACCTTTTCCATCGTTCTGGCAGAGTAAAAATTCCCCCTTCGTAAAATGTCTGGTCTTTGCTATTAAAAAACTCAATTAGGTGTGATCCGACATCATCCGCGTTGTTACAAATTTTACCATTTAAAGAGTTTTGCATGGAACGAAACAAATGGTAATCCGAAGGCGCAACGTCAGGGCTATATGGTGGGTGTGACAAAACATCCCAACCCAGTTGCAATAATTTTTGCCGAGTAACCAAAGATGTATGGGGGGGGGGCCTTGCGTTATCAAAGATGTGTGGAAAACAACACCCTTCCGCCGATTTGATAATGCCGGCCGCTTATCTTCAATTGCATCCTTCTTTCAGTTTTTCCAGTTCTTCAACATACACATTTGAATTTATCGTTTGGTTCTGCGGCATGAGTTCAAAATACAAAATTCCTTTGTGATCCCCCCACCAGACTACTGACAGCATAATCTTTTTTGGTGAATCTCTGCTTTTCATACTGTTTGGGCTGGTTGANATATATATATATATATATATATATATATATATATATATATATATATATAAACTCCTGGTAAATATATGTGAGAGAGGAATACATTATTTAGAAAAATCAATAAAATAATTCACAAATTGCTAGTCCTCTTTTGCCCAGCAGACGTACTTTGTTAAGTGAACTATAAAAATTTTGAAACCCATGTCTAAACCTTTTTATTGTGATCTTTCATTGAAATGAACTTTATTTTTTGTGTATTGATGACGATAAAATGCGATAGGCCTTATTCAGCTCCAAGTTGAAAAAAGTTGATCTTTTGATTCCGTTCTTAAAATATGACAAGGTTTTCCCTATTTTCTGACGCTTCTACTGCTTTCTAGTCCAGTTATTCAGTTGAAAAAAAAACGGTTTTTTCCTAAAATATTACAAAATCTAACATTTGTTTGCTTAGGAAAATAAAGAGAACTTAA